GAGTTGTAAATATTTCAGTGTATTTCTATTTGTAGATCCTGTAAGTAGTAAGGATCATTTTTAAATGATTATTAAAAGACTGAGCGAGTGAGCTTTAATTTCTTCATGGCTTGAGACCTGCTTTCTCATTTTTATTTGACAAAAACCCCAACTTGGACACTTGGAAAAATTGTTCTGATTTCTGTCTTTCACAACTTGGAATCTTTTTCCTGCGGGTGAATACACCTTTCTGTAAGCTGTTGTGAGGCACATTGATAGTTCTCTGGTCTGGGTTAATGTCTTTCTCACGAGATTTACATTTCACCTGTTATCAAAAATCACTTTGTCCTTAGGAAAGTGGAGCCAGTGAATGGCATTTCCATAAGAAGGGAGGGGAGGTATCAAATGCTGGGATCATTCCAAGTTCTAACGTCCTCAGCTAATTGGCAGACGTTGGGGGCACAGAAGCATGTCATCTTTTAAGAAGACATTAGCATTGTGTTGCTTTTAAATTGGATATAATAATTGTCTAATTTTGGGGGGGTGGAGAGAAAGGAGGCAAAAACTATGGGAATTATTTAATTGTGACTAGTTAAAATTTTAGAAGATAGGCTCTTGATGTGTTAAAATGCTTTGTTTAATGTTGTGATTTGGTTATAGAGGCATTTTACGAAAAGCTGCTAATCCTAAAACATTTTAAGAAAAAAAGTATAACTTGTACACTACTGGATTTAGTTTCAGCTGGACTTGATGGTGTAAGGCAATTTAAATATAAAGGGGAGAATGTTTCTGAATAATCAATAATTTAGAAACTATTTCGCATACATAGAAGTGCTATTGAGGAAAGCTCCCAGTTACTGTCTCCCAAGGACTTCTGTTTGCTGCTCTCTTGTTTTGCAATATTTACCAGTATGCCTTCCTCACATTTTTGTCCTCAAAAAATTCCCCGTATTTCATTTTCCCTTTTTAGCTCTACTACTCAGTGAGGCTTAAACTTACCGTTTTCGTTACAGTGTTTCTGTATCCTTGGGACTCATGCCCTTTACTCCTAGCGTGGAAGTCACCTGACTCCCCCACGTAGTGGTTTCTGGCTGCATGATCCAGGGGCAGTTCTGGCACACCTGCAGGCCTTTCACACCCCACGCCTGCTGCGAGTGTATTCATTCAGTTTTGTGTAGTAACACATGATTTGATAGTGGCGTCTTAACCACTACTTTATTCTGTCTGTACACAATAAAATTATTAGTAATAACATTTTTACATGTTATCAGGTGTTAGTAGCACAGTGATATGAATAATGTAATTGTATCATCAAAGTCTAGGCATCTTAGATTTACTGGTACAGGATTATAGAGGAAAAACCGAGTAAAGTGTTGAATATATATGTTTTTAGCAGCGGGCATGTAATTTAGAGTTTCTAAAGAAGAGAGATGTCAGTGAGGCATTAGTTCATGTAGTTGCTGACAGTGATGTTGACATTAAGGTTTCTGTTGCTGCTGCTGTTTACAGTGCTCATGTTTTGCAGACAGTGGTCTTGCATTTATAGTATCTTTTGTCTGGAAGAACATGTTAATATCAGATAATGCTATAAAGTTTATATTTTCTAAATTTTATATGTCTCTTTTCAAATACTTAGATGTAAATATTTGATTTTTCATCTTGAATTTGTCTGACTTTTGTATACTAGAACATCAGAGTAGATAATTATGTGTCGTAGAGCAAAAATTCATATCTGATTCCATTCTTGAAGAATTTTGCTCTATTTGAAATGCTGAAGAGAAATGCGTTCATTTGAAGCCTGTCTTGCACCTGTGACCCAGCTTGCAGTGTGCTCTGTTGATGCCAGTGCTGTCCAGTAGAACTCACTGCAGTAACGGAATATTCTCCATCTGTGATGTCCACTATGGTAGCCACTAGCCCGGGTGCCCACTGAGCTCTTGAGATGTGGCTAATGTGACTGAGGGAACTGGATTGTAAGTTTTATTTAATTTTAATTAATTGAAATGCAGGTTGCCACATGGAGCCAATGGATGCTCATTTGGACAGTCCAGGCCTGGCTACTGTCTGTGCCCAAGTTACTGTTGTGAGGAGGGTGACCTTTTGAGTGGGATGTTGGGAAGCAGGAGAGTGAAGACTGAGGCCTCGGGGGCTTCCTCCGTGGGCGGCATTGTGCTGCGCTTTCGTAATGTATTAAGTCCACTTTCGTCAGTGCTTTGCAGATGAGCGAACAAAGACTCAGACCAAGGAGCTTCCGTAGGGTCACTTGCTGCTGATTGTTTCAAAAAACATGACTTTAAAGTCCATGTTTTTCCATTGTGTTTTGTTGCCTGCTCACAAGTGATTCATTTTTTTTTTTTTTTCATCATCTCTTGAATGGCTGTGGTGCCATGCCTGGGCTGAGGAAAGGTGGTGCATGAACTTGAATAAGAGCTGGCCTCTGCCTGTTGTCAGCTCAGTGAATGGACATGATACTGATGTGGTAGGGGGTTGAGATCCAGGCTCTCATTTCAACTCTGACGTTAACTAGTGGTTTAGTCTTAGAGAAGTCACTTGCCTGTGGGACTTCCAGTTTTCTCAACTATGTAATGTGGGAGTCCGGCATCAGTATAGTGTAGTTGCAGGTGTCTGAGATGGTAATTCTTAGGTAACATAACTAGGATTTTCCTGGCACTGGGAGTGTGTGCTGTCACCAGGTAAAAGAGTGATGATTTATAGCTGCTGTTGGTGGGAGAAATTGGGGAAGGAGTGCCCATGAGCCCCTGCCACGGGGGAAGGCGACTCATAGAGTGGAGGAGAGCACAGAGCAGTCGCAGTCTGCATGGCACCACAGTGGGGGTGCTGGAGGGAAGGAGGCATGTGAGAGTGTTCGAACTGGACAGTACAAGCAACAGGTAAGGTGAGAGAAATAGTCATTGAAAGCTTACTCTTTTTTATTTGAAGCCTTATTTAATTTTTCTTTCATTCAAGCATAAACAGATCAAATATTATCATCATTTTACTGAAATCTACTTGACCATTTCCTTTCCTACCTTACCAAGAAATAGTGATGGTGAACACACTTGTTTTGACAATCTTCAATCACTTTAACACCACCCTGATTTATAACTGTCGATAACTGTCGTAGACTTGAAAGTATGCTTTCAGTTTGGAGGTGTTTGGTTTATTGTTTCAAAAGTGATGATGGCAGTGCTAAGATATTCCGTTCTTGCAAAGCTCAGTCTTTGTGTGCTATGGTGGAAGTTCTAGAATAAGGGTGGGGGGAGCTGGCTTCCTTGGCTATCCCCATGGCAGAGCATCAGCCCCGTGAGAGAGTGCTGCTTAAGGGAGCAGTGCTTGGCAGTCCTTCTCATGTTGGAACAGTCCCTGTTAGGGATGGGCAGCCTCCGAAAAACCAACCTCTGACCTTTCAATGTGAAGGTCTTCCCAGCACAGCTGAGAATTAGATGAATAGTCATAGGGATAGTACCAACTTCAGTTGAGAGACACACACACATGCGGCCTCATAAGGTATGCTACTATGGGAGATTTATGAAGTTTACTTCATATATTCAAATTGATAAATTCAAATACTGAAACCTGTAAGTTTTCAGTATTTGTAAAGTGATTTCTAAAGCATGAGAGCATTACGATTGTAGTAAGGATGTGGCACTCCAGCGTGGGAGACAGTAGTTCTGCGATGGAGCTCTGATGTGTCAGCCTCATTTTATAATCAGCCGTATGCTGTCATTTTTATGCAAAATTTTTTGTTAACTTTTAAGCTTCCTTTGTCACAGAAATGAAGAATATTTGACTTATACAGTAGGCTTTCTATTCTAGCCTTGAATATAATTAGAAGGTGAGATTTAACAACTTCCTTTAATAAGCCATTCTGAGTCTTTCTCTACATTTTGAAAATTTGAATTAAACCAAGATGTTAATACTGAAGTTTAAGTTCATGATTGTTTTGTGCTTAAAAGAGATGAATTTGATACCTTTTCGTCATTTTCTGAAGTATTTTAAGAAAAGTTACTTTACTAGAAACTCTATACTCTCCACCCCCAAATAATGGTTTAGATGACCAAGAAGGGGAAGAGTGCTCCTGAAACCCAGACACTATTGGAACAGGGTAAATTTAAAATTAAAATATTTACTGCGTAGATGAAGAGAGCTATGTGGAAATACAGTCAAGCTTTTATCATTAGAATATCACAGGAAACATTTGCATCTCTTTAAATATTGGATTGAGCTGTAAATCTTTTTTTTTTTGGTAAGATGGAGGCTTGCCCAGGCTGAAGTGCAGTGGCATTGTCTTGGCTCACTGCAACCTCTGCCTCCCAGATTCAAGCTATTCTCCTTTCTCAGCCTCCTAAGTAGCTGGGATTACAGGTGCCTGCCACCACAGCTGGCTAATTTTTTTATTTTTAGTAGAGACAGAGTTTTACCATGTTGGCCAGGTTGGTCTTGAACTCCTGACCTTAGGTGATCTGCCTGCCTCAGCCTCCCAAACTGCTGGGATTACAGATGTGAGCCACCATGCCTGGCCTGAACTGTAAGTCTTAATATTACATTAGTTAATACTACTGGAAAAGGCATTTTTTAAGAGTGGAAAAAGTGATTACTACTTCAGAGAATGAGTCACATCCTGGATTAATTGAAACCTAAGGACTTTTATCATTGAATGGTATATTGGGAATTACCAGTGGGTAACCTATAGCTATGCCTTTTCTCAACATACAGAGCATTGACCGCCTCAGAATTAATGGTTTTATTTTGGCAGTAAGAGTGTCTAAACAGAAAGATAATTCCCCTGGGGTTCTAGAAGCCATTGTATATTTATATAAGACTTTGTATTTTTATGTCAAATTTAAATTTGTGTAACCAACCTTTTATAAGAAAAACCCCACAGATTAGCATTAGGTGTGCTATTAATGTCTGATAAATACAGAAACAATTAATATTGGCTCTAAATGTGTACTATTAGTTTGAACTTTTTTAAAAAGCAAAAAAAAAAGTACACAATATGTATCTTTTGTTTCATACAGTTGCTGTGATTGGCTGATAAATATTTGTCAAAGAAAGAAAGAACTGAAAGCTCGCACAGTATGGCTTGGATGTCCTGAAAAGTGTGAAGAAAAACATCCCAGGAATTCTATAAAAAATCAAAAATACAATGTGTTTACCTTTATACCTGGGGTAAGACTATTGCATTCTTGGAGATGGGTTGTGTGTCAGACATTGCTGGCTTCCTTTGCTGTAGAACGGAGCCTGTTGAGACTCTGACTTAGGTATTGAGTTGTGTCACATCCAAATCAGTGTCCTTTTGCTTTTGAACCATCTGTGTTCCCAATAATTGTTAAATAATTCATGTGTATTTTTAATGGCTACATCGTAGAGTGCAGCTCAGGAAAATGTACAGTTTGATTATTGCCTTCAGTTCTTGATAAACATAATATTTATATTATTTTAGAAATATAGTATAGACATAATGAAGTAAAGGTAAATAAAATGATCAGAAAACAAGTTATACATTTTGTTTGACTGGGAACTAGTTTGGAGAAAAAAGTAAATGTAATGTTTAAACCCTGCCAAGATATTTCACAAAGAAAATGAAAAATTTTTTTATATTGAAATGATACAGTAACAAAGTATCTGAAATGTGCATATTTATATATAGATGTCTTTGCTACTTCACCTTATAAATCTCAGACCTTGTTATATTGTTATATCATTAGTTATGTTTAATTGGGTATTATGTTAATTTTAAATACTGTGGTTTAAATATTTTATTACTTTTTTGTTGCTAGTGATATTACTGGCTTAAATTATAAAACAGTTCACATACAATTGGAATAGTTGAATACTTTTTGTTTTTTGTATGTCATTCCTTATTTTAATAGATTTATCTATCTTTCTAAAGGAAAAGGAAGCTGGTATTGATTATATTTCTATACCAAAGTTTTTGGCACGTTTTAGGTCTTATTTGCAAGAAAAGCTCTTGATTACATGGAATGTGGGTGGCTTTGTCTTGTATATTTAATTTAAATAATCATGCTGACATTGTATTGGGCATTGATTTTACCCCCACCCCCACCTCATCCCCATCCACCTAGTGATTGGCAAATACTTGGTATCTAATGTACTTCTTTATTAAAACCCACAAAACTAATGGCTTCATAATTAAAAGACTGATCTTTTGTCAGGATAATAAAATGTAAACTGTCTTATAGGCAGATAAATATTCACATCTTTATTGAATGAAGCCACTGTTTTCTGCTTAGGTTTAAATTATTAAATACTCACAGATCTCAGAGATTGGCTAAGCAGTGTACGTTTTCCTAAAGGTCAGCAGGTTCAGTCAGTAGACAGTAGAGTATTGATTACAGTCGTTTAAAGCCAGCAGTGCAGCTTCACTTTGATCAGTGTAAGTCCACACAGCCTGCCCAGATTGGCTGCGTGCTGAAAATACCTGTGGATGTGACTGTATGATGATTACCATGTATATGAGTTTTTTATCTTAGATTGTCTCTGAAATTAGTCTTTTCATCTAAAATGTAGTATTTTAGAAACATTTGGTAATTACACAGTAGGAATTCTATGTCATTTTTACCATGAATGGCAATTTCTAAATTGCTAATAGATATAATTTATGCTAACTGAGATTTTAAAGAAATCACTAAGGAAAAAGCACTTTATTTCCTGCTGAGATTAATTTATGAAATAATTCAAAACATTCTTAGACAGCAGGTTGAACGTGATTATGAACATAAATGCATTGTCAGTGTAACTGATTTTGAGTCCCACACATCGCTGTATGATGATGCAGATAACCTCATTTTCTGAAAACAAGTTGCAGACTCTGTAGGTCAGCAATGAGCACTTAACCCATTGCCCTGCTTGGTGAAATTTTCATACCTTCCAAGTGGCATAGAAATGGCATCCAAAGAGATTGCAATTTGTAAGTTGCAGGTTTGCAAGTTTGATTTGAATTGTGATGTGCTGTTTGAATTATTCTCATCTGTAAACATAAGTTTTGTTCCATTTTGATTTTCAGTGTAAATCTAATAATTAGAGGCATTTGTAAATTGAGATCTATTCATGTATTAGATCTTGGGTTTTCGTCCCTAAAGATAACGATTTGAAGTAAAAACCAAAACCAAAACCTTGCAGTATTGACATTCCTAATATTTTATTGAATGGTGAAATTTCTTTTATATTTGAAAATATTAAGAATTAACAACCCAAAGACCATAAGAGTAGGCAGGTAGTTGTCTTCTTGAAAATTGGTCTGCAGTTACAACTTCTTATATTTTGTCTTTTTTAATGTTTTGAGGGAAGTAAATACCCACAGGAGATTAAGGCAGTCTATCTCGTGAAGTCAGCCTGTTCACATTTGGCTTGTTCACTCAGTCTTTGTAAAGCCACCTGGATGTCCATGTTAAAAAAAAAAGTGGCTATTTATTTGGTTTTTTTACCACTTCATAAATATAAGATTAATATGTCTTTTTCATTGTAAGATTTTCTGAGTCATTATCAAGATACACCTGTATATTTACTGGCTTACTAACATTGGGAAGGTTTTGCTATCTTTTTTTGATGTTCATGTAAAAACTTACTGAATGAGTATGGAAAACTGGAAAATCTCATATAAGAAAAAGAAACTTTTAGGTGATATTTTTTAACATAATTGAACGTCCTAATTGTCTTATTTTCAGTTTATTTAAAATATATTTTGGGAGTAACCTTACCTTTCTTTGTGATATAGCTATTAGAAAGCCAATGTGAAAATTAATACATTTACTTTGAATCAGAACATATTCTCACTGTTTGATGGAAATGTGGTTATATGTTGTGCTGATTTTAACTGTTTAATTTAGGTATTAAATTTTTTCCTTGTAGGAATTTTGTTAATTTTCTCTTTTCCTTTTTAGGTTTTGTATGAACAATTCAAGTTTTTCTTGAATCTCTATTTTCTGGTAATATCCTGCTCACAGTTTGTGCCAGCATTGAAAATAGGCTATCTCTACACCTACTGGGCTCCTCTGGTAAAAGAAAAGACTTTAAAAATTAAGTTAAATTATGAAATATTTAGAATATAGTTTTAAGAGTTGAGATGGTTAAAAGTTAAGTTGACCAGATTTTACAAACATGATGTTGTTGCAGTGCATCACTGAACTTCTTGTAAAAGATTTTGCTGAGTGACTTCAGTCCCTCTGAGAACCATGGGAAGTGTGGTGGTAGCACGCTGCCTGTAGAGTGGTGGCAGAGGGGTTTTCCTTGGTCATTCTGCACCTGTGTTAAGGGTGCAGGTCATCAGCAGCTCGCTCCTGTGTGATGCAGCTGTTGGGAATGGGGCTGTGGGTCTGTTCTGTTACTCTCTCCACACCCTGACCATGGTGAGCATTCTGAAATATCCAAGTGCAGTACATAAACGATGTCTGGTTGACATCTCAGTGCATAAAGTTTTTCAAAAGGCCAATGATGCAATGATGCTTGTCAATGAATGTTTCCATTTCAAACGTATGCTGTCTTGATAGTCTTAAGCTATTGGCTGATAGTTTTCATTGACTTTTAGCTTGTACAGACAAGATGTACATCATCTTTCCTCCTTTCATGGAAAAATGTACTACTTCCTTTATTTTTATTCTTTTGGAGCTAGAGTCTCACCCTGTTCCCCAGGCTGGAGTGTAGTGGCACAATCTCGGCTCACTGCAACCTCTGCCTCCTGGACTCACACAGTTCTCCTACCTCAGCCTCCTGAGTAGCTAGGATTACAGGCGTGTACCACTACACCTGGCTATTCTTGTATTCTTAGTAGAGACGGCATTTCACCATGTTGGCTAGGCTGGTCTCAAACTCCTCACCTCAGTTGATCCACCTACCTCAGCCTCCCAAAGTGCTGGAATTACAGGCATGAGCCACCACGGCTGGCCTCTACTTCCTTTCTTGGATTTGCTCCCTTTTGGGCAGATGACCCGAGGAATCTAGGTAGGAAACACAGAGAGTGAAAGGGTTCCTTCAGTGAAAGAAGAGTGCAGTCCTCGGGGGTCCACGTGAGTTGTGGCCTTCCACGTGGAGAGCCGAGCTGTCTGCTCTCGAGGGATGTGTCCTGGCTTGGGTAGGCTCCATCTTCCTAACCAGAGAACTCCAGATGAAGCAGGAGAACTGGAAGACAGATTAAATTCTTGTTTCCTGGACAGGCACAGTCAGGCTTTCCTGTTTGCCTGTAGTAAAACCATGCTGAGGGACATTTTTTGATTTCTCTTTCACATAGACTTGATAGTAGGGTGGATTTGAGGAATGAGTAACTTTATATGTAATATAAACACAAAATTACTAGATAAATGAATACTTTTTAGCTTATTAAATTAGTAAGATTGAAAGAGACGTTGGAGCTGAGCATGGGTAAAACTGTAACACTGTGGTGCTCATCCCATTAGTATAGACGCGGCGAGCTCCCCCGTTGGTGTGCGTAGTGTGCGTGCACACCTGTGTTGCCTTTATGGCGGGTCATTGATAATATATATTAAAGACCTGTTACTTGAGGAATTTATCCTAAAGAAATGATGATTGATCACAAAGTCTAAAGAATGTCCATTATACATATTTTAAAAAATCGAATGTCTAACAATAGATTATTTAAACTCTGCTATATCCTGTGTACTTGTTGGAATACTGTGTAGCTTTAAAAATGGTGATTAGGAAGTGTTTAGTAATGTAAAAGTTACATATTAGAATAAGTTTTAAAAGGTGGCTCAAAATATGTATAGAATGAAATCCACGGTAGTTTTGATCAGTCAGTATTGAGCTCCTTCATGTCCAGCCCTAGTCTAGGAAATGTTGATACAACAGTGAACAAGACAAACCAAAGCCTGTTCTAATAGAATTAAAATTCTGGGAGAGAAGGCAGTATACTCCTAATGCCACGTAGCCAACCATCAGGCTATGAAGAAGAAAATGTGAAGCAGGAAAAACGAGTAGAGGATGAAGGGGGTGTTCTATATGGGATGGTCAAGGAAGGCTTCTCTTGTGAGGTGACATTGGAATGACATCTTACTGGTAAAACAGTCAGACAGATATGAAACAGGGAAGAGGATTGAAGGCAGAGGAGCAGCTGCAGAGGTCTTGGACTGTTTTAGCGTGCTCCAGGGTGTGAGGAGATCATCCAGAAGAAGGGGGTGGGTGGGAAGAAGCAGTTGGAAAGGAGGTCACAGGGCCTGGCGTCAACTTTTCCAATCCTCTCAGATTTCGTCCTGGGTGGAAAAGGAAGCGGTGTGTTTGTGTATGTATTACATATATTCACACACAGAAGAAACACTGAAGTGTATACAACAGAATTTTGAAAGTTGTTGTTGAAGCTAGGTAACCGTGGAAGGGGGTATAGATAACTATTTTTCCTTTCTTTTCTCCACCTTCCACCACATTAGCAGTAACCAATTCTGAATGTGAGATTATAATTCCTGCGTATCGGTTAATTGTTTTACTACGTTTATATCTATCATTAAAACAATACGCAATACTATTTTGTATGCTTTAAAAATTTTTATAAAGGTTATCTTAATCTGTGTGGCCTATTGCAACATACTCTTTTTTTTTTTTTTTGAGACGGAGTCTTGCTCTGTCGCCCAGGCTGGAGTGCGCTGGCACAATCTCTGCCCACTGCAAGCTCTCCCACTGCAAGCTCTGCCTCCTGGGTTCACGCCATTCTCCTGCCTCAGCCTCCCGAGTAGCTGGGACTACAGGCGCCCGCCACCATGCCCGACTAATTTTTTGTATTTTTAGTAGAGACGGTGTTTCACCGTGTTAGCCAGGATGGTCTCGATCTCCTGACCTCGTGATCCGCCCGCCTCGGTCTCCCAAAGTGCTGGGATTACAGGCGTAAGGCATAAGCGACCACGCCCGGCCAATTATATTTACGATTTTAATGTATTTATTTCTAGCCCCTTTTTTTCTATTCATAGCTTTCACAGTTGTATTTACTGCTTAAATATCATTTCCCAGCTGGGTGCTCATGCCTGTAATCCCAGCACTGTGGGAGGCCAAGGCGGGAGGCTATCTTGAGCTCAGGAGTTCAAGACCAACCTGGGTAAGATGGTAAAATTCCATCTCTGCCAAAAAATAGAAATATTAGTTATGTGTGGTGGTGCATATCTTTAGTCCCAGCTACTCAGGAGGCTGAGGTTGGAGAATTGCTTGAGCCTGGGAGGCAGAGGTTGTAGTGAGCCAAAATTGCGCCACTGCACGGCGGCCTGGGTGACAGAGTGAGACCGTGTCTTCAAAAAACAAAAAATTGCCTCGTGGGTTAAAACTGTTTTAACTTAAACAATGATGGTCTGAGAACACAAATTCTTCTTAAAAAAGTAAAGGAAAATGTATTTATGTGTATTTTGCTTCGGCCTTTTGAACTTACCGTGATTTAACTAGCTTTCAACCAAAGAAAATGTCCTTTAGATGGTTCTTTATGAAGAACTTTATTTGATTTGTTCACAAAATTGATGATCTTGGCCATACTTGAGTGAAGTGTGCACGCAAGCACACACACATCTGTTTATCAAGACAAGAAAACATTTCTTTGTTTTTTCTTTTCATATGCTCGTTCATTTCCAGTTCTAGCTGCAATTTTTAGTCCTTTAACTTGAATTTTCATCCTGTTATTTTGAAGTACTTTATCATTTTTTGACATATATTAGCTTTAATTATTTTTGGATAAGTACCTCAATAAGCAACTACTTCAATATTCATGTAAAAGATGTTGTTATTCCACTACATTTGTGTTTTAAGATTTTAGAGAAGTGAAAAGCCACTTTTTCCATTTGAATGATGCTTGACGTTGCCTTCTGATACACCTAGATGAATTCTGTCGTGTCCTGAGTATCATATTGTTAGATCTGAGAATTGATCTACTTTTTAAATCATTTTCTTTTGTTCTTTGGTTTGGCAGCAACCACAATTGATGCTACCTTTCAGATAACAAATGATGAATAGTATCTTTCACTGTTTATATGCATCTTAACCTTTGATTGAGCAAATCTCTTAAAAAGTTGATGTGCACCTTAGGCTTACCTTCAAATCCGAGAAGCAAGGTTACTAGGGCTTATTGATTCTTTTAAAAAGCTTTTAAAAATGTTGAAAATCAAGACAGTTTGAAAAATTAGACAAAGTTAAGGAATAATTAAACATACACTAAATCTAAAGAAATCTCTTTAAAGGAAACTATTTAAAATAATGCAAATTTGAAAATACATATAGGTGTCTCTTTTTAACTGAAGAAAATGTTCTTCCACAAGAATTCATCATAAGCCCTTCAGTTCTTGCATTTTCTGTACCAGTTTATATTAACCCTGTTGTGTCCAGTGCCTGTAACACTATGTGATCTTTATATATACATTGACTTCTTTTCAATTTTTTCTCGTTCTCTAAGGTTCTATAACTTTCTCAAGAAAAATATACTAGTTAACATTTCCAGATTTCTTCTAACCAAAATCCTACCACTGAGGCATAAAACCATTTTACAGTTGTCGGTTGTAAAATTCTATTTCTGTTGTTCACTAATTTTAAATAAAACAAGTTACTTCAAACTTACTCCCTCTGTTCTCTAACTAAAATTGAGATGTTTTTGAAAACAGTAATAGCTTAATTAATATTTCTGTTTAAGTTACTTTTGGTAATATTATTTATTAGCTCTAGGTCTGAACTAATTTGTGTTATATTTTCCCATATAGTAGAAGTGTAAATTGAAAATAAGTTGATTTCATTACATTATCATGTCTGGATGAAGATTACCTTTCATATTCAGCTTTCAGAACAATTCTTTAAAGCAAAGCTTGTGTAATCAGAGTAACAAAACAGAATGTCATGCTTCTATCAAAATGAATGAGATAGAATAGATCCGTCTGTGCAGAAGATCTTTAGATAAAGACAGCTCTGGCTCTAACAATTTTTAACATTGTATCTTCTATATAAAATGTCTTCTGCTACTTTGTTAATAGATAATTGGCAACCAGATAGGCTGTGTAGGCGAGAAATCAATCTATGAGAACTTTGA